ATCTGAGCGTAGGTGCGCTCGGCAGAAGACAGTGTTCTGGAGTAGTATGCAATAGGAACCTGAGTTCCGTCAGACCTGAGGTGACTCAGGACAGCTCCAACCCCGTAGGGGGATGCATCACAAGCGATGCACACAGGAAGAGACTCGTTGAAATGTGCAAGAACACTGTTCGAAGTGAGCAAGGCCTTGACTTCTTTAAAGCACGCCTCATGTGCTTGTGACCACAGCCACACAGCTTGTTTGTCTAGTAGCCTGTGAAGAGGCTCAGCTACACTAGCTTTATGTGGAAGAAAAGAATTGTAGAAATTCAGGAGGCCTAAGAAGGCCTGAAGTTCGGCCTTGGACTTTGGCCTGGGTGCTTCTAAAATAGCAGTTAGTTTGGATTCAGCAGGATGAATCCCAGCAGCATCAATTTTGAATCCAAAAATTCAGTAGAAGGCACCCCAATCTTGCATTTGTCTTTTCTGAGGGGGGGTCTTGAGGCCTGGATTGTCCTGAATCTTAACAGAACAGCCCTTAGCCTTTCAGCTAGAATGTGTGTGGAGTCTCCTGCAATTAAGACATCATCAAAGTAGGGGCAAACCCCTGGTATACCCCGTAGTGTGTTTTCCATTACGCTTTGGAAAATCACAGGAGCGACATTCACTCCAAACTGCAGCCTTTTTACCTTAAAGGCTCCCCTGTGGGTCACAATAGTCTGAGCTATGGCAGCATCATTATCAACAGGCAGCTGTTGATATGCTTGAGCTAGGTCAAGCTTTGCAAAAAAACGCCCCCCCTTGAGAGAGGCCAGGATGTGACTGACCACAGGAACAGGATAGGCATGTTGCTGCAAGCCTGTATTGAGTGGGGCATTTGTAATCAGCAACAAATGCAAATGTCCCACATTTGCCTTTAGAGGCGTGGACCAATCGGGGGTCTCCCACGGGCTGGAAAATCAACAGGTTCTAGGATTCCCTGTTGGATTAGTTGTCTAATTTCAGTATATCCAATCTTTACTTCTTTAAAGCAAAAGGGACCCTTCGGCTTTATCCTCAATGGGAGTGACAGTGGGGTCTAGCTTTATTAAGGACACAGGTGGTCCTTTGGAATGTGCACCAGCTGCGGGGTCTGAAACACATCTGCAAATTCCTTTTGCAGATTCCTTCCTGTAGGTCGAGTGTTTGTAAGCTATTGAGTCCTGTGACGTGTATCCCCAGGGCCTCAAAACAATCGAGTCCTATGAGACTCGTTCGTTCACCCCCTACTACTAATAAGTCTAGTGGACCTTCAAAACTCTTGTATTGCACGTTAAGGGTGGCCTCCCCCTTAACACACACTATTGAGTTCTGAAAATCTGTTAATAAAATATCAGAAGGCCTTAACTTGGCCTTAGTCCACTACCGGAACAAATCTTCCTAATTGTATGCACGGAGATAATTGAAAAGGCAGACCCTGTGTCTAGTTCCATAGATAATGGAACCCCTTGTAGCTTCACCTTGAGTGACAGCTTTTTCTTAATGGGCTTGTGTGTGCCTGTCCTGAGGATGCTTCTTCGCGAAGCGCAAAACCCTACCATATTCTGGCTGGGGGAATCTGTGGTACCCTTTCAGAAGAGTGATTATTGGGGTTGTGCCTTTAGTCAGCCCGACACACAGCGGACAATGTTGCCCTTGTTGCCGAATGCCACGGAGGTAGCGGAGGCGGAACTGAAGTCGGTTCTACTGTCGGCTACCTCCACAGCCGATTGTGCACTTCTGAGCTGGTAGCCGAAGAGCGTCCCTTCTGGTTCTCTTCCTTCGCGGGGTGTAGACGGTCGACTTCTTCGTCCGGATCCTCCTCGGAGTTTCGTCGGATGTCTTCCTGGTGCACGGACGCACCCTCTGCACTGCTTCTGATCGGCCGCATGTTCTTGACGGCGCCGCCTGCTGCTTCTTCTGCGGTGACTTCCCTTAAGGCGTCTTGGACGGATAATTCTTCCTTTGCGAAAAGTCTCTGTTGTAGCTCGCGATGCCTTAACCCGCACACGAATCGGTCCCTCAGTCGTTCCTCGAGGTCCTTGAACTCGCAGGGCTTGGCGGCCTTCCGTAACGCGGCGATGTATTCCTTGGCTGACTCACCGGACCGTTGATCCCTCTGTTCGAAGGTGTGGCGCCATGAGATAACGGACACCTTGGGGTGGAAGTGCTCCTTCAGCAGATTCTTCAGGTCTGCGTAGCTTACAGACTCTACTGGGACAGGTGCTGCAAGGTTTTCTGCGATTTCGAAGGCGTCTTGGCCGCAAACGCAAAGCAGGGTGGCCGCCTTCAAGCTATCTTCCCTCACTTGGTTTGCCTTGAAGTAGTTATCCATTCTGGATACGTAGGACTCCCACCGCTCTGGATGTGAGACGTCGAATTCTGAAAGCCTTCCGATTTTCGCCATCTTCGGATCTTCAGGAGACGGGTCTATCAGCCAGCCTACCCCCGAATGCGCACCGGAATGGCGGGCAGCTGCCGAGTCGACGCCGTTCCTCTTCCGCCGCTCAGGACTCCTTGGGTAAGCTTACACTTCTTCCTTTCCAGGTAGTGCAAGGCATCCCACCTTCGTCGCCAGTGTTGAGTCCGTGGCGGGAAAACAGACACGAGAAGCAGCTGGAGTTCTCAGTTTCTTTTATTCAGCATTCAGCTTACAGGAAGATGGCTTCAGCCTCGCCCAAACGCCTCGCAGCCTCTTATATAGGCAACTCCTGGGTAAATGGGTTACTTTTCCCGCGCCAGCACCCGCGCATGCGCACGGTGCTGGCGACAGCCTGTCTGGTCCCGGGCAGCTTTGCACCTGCCCGGGACTGCCTGCAAACGCCCGAGCCGTTTGCAAAGGCTCGGGACATAACAATAATAAAATCAAACAATAGCATCTGCCTATCCCAGGTCCTTGGGAAGGACTCTATAGGTCAATAAAATGCCAAATCCAGTCTAAACATCTGGCTGACTCTGGGACCAACTATAATAAAGAAATGGTTAAATAATTATTCAGCAGAGGTAATTTAGCATAATCATTTTTGCTCAAAAGCTCATGCTTAAAATATTCTTCATTATTAAATTCTATTTGGATGCCATCTAACTTCAACTGGCAGTAGGAGACTCATAATTAAATACAACAAAATACTGAAAAAGTAACCCAAACAAGTTCCCAATAATTACGAAATAATATGATAAGCAAACATATTTAAACCCATTTATCAATTGTCTAAATATCTATTCAACATAGCTCATTTAGCATAATAATTTTTGTTCAAAAGTTCATTTAATTGATGATTTGTTCAAACACCATTATTTTCTTAGTAAATTGGTATTTGTTCCTTAACATTTTCTGCCCTTGCCAATTTGGAGTGTTTGGAAGAATACTGCATATACTTTTGATTTGGTAGGATGAGGGCGACAGTGTGTTGCCCACCTAGATTGTCTATAAATTAGAAATTTACTTCATTACTTTGGCCACCTAATGAAAAGGAAGGACTCACTGGAGAAGAGCCTAATGCTGGGAAAGATTGAGGGCAATAGAAGAAAGGGACAACAGAGAATGAAGTGGCTGGATGGAGTCACTGAAGCAGTAGGCGTGAGCTTAAATGGACTCCAGAAGATGGTAGAGGACAGGAAGGCCTGGAGGAACATTGTTCATCTGGTTGCGATGGGTTGCAACTAACAAAAACAACAATGTGAACGTTCTTGGGGTAAAGCAGACTGTGATTCTCCTGGTAGCATGATGGGCCCGGAGCACCAAAACTGACAGGCACTGTCCCTTACCTGCAGGGAATAAGCAAATAGCACAGGTAGAACTAAAGCTGGTGTCCTAGTATATTACCTTCTTTAGGTTATGTGTATGCTCAATTGAAAAACGTGTACAGTGTAATTGGCGGTAAAGGTCAATTTCTATGAGTCACCAGGTGACGACCGTAGCATATAGAACTGCTAAAATTCAATATGGATTGCGGTAAGAAGATGGATAAATAAACAAACCTGGAGGAGTGCACCTAGAACATAAGAAGAGTAAATAGCAAAGAAGATGAATGAATAAACGAAGTGACAGAAAGAGAAATAGATACGCTGCATGTCTGTGAAACTAAGAGGAAGGAGAAGGCTGTCACAGATCTGAATGAAGGTGGTCTGATCGTGTGGAAAATAATTAATTAACATCTTCAGGGAAGTGAAGCATAGTTTTAATTACAGGTAGCCCTCAACTTACGATTATAATGGGCCCTGGCGTTTCCATTGTAAGTCATGATGGGTATAAATTGAGGCACACATGTGACCAAACTTGATTGGATGACTTTTTTTTGCAGCAGTCATTAAGTGAACAATGCAGTCACTAAGTGAATCAAGGTCTTTCTGCAGGTGCTTTTTGCTGGAAACCATCCCCAAAGGCCAGAAACGAGCCAAAAATTGTTAAGTTGTGATCACATGACCATAGAATACTGCAACCACCTGTAAAGGTAATCCAGTTGCCACTCACCCAAAAAGCAGTCATGTGACCCCAGGGGACATAAGCAGTTTTCGGGGAGGGGGGTCTATTGTAACTTTCAATGGTTGCTAAGTTACCAGTTGTAATTTGAAGACTATCTGTATGAGCTGAAAGTTATATCAAAATGTATGTCAGGAAGTATTAATTAGAGTCAACTGGATCACTGTGGGCATAGAAGGAAGTCAGAATTCATAGGTTGGTAATAGTTACGGTTCAATGAATAATGACTAATAGAAAAAACAAACATGAGTTTGGGGAAAAATACATAACATTCTAAACAAATGTGATCCTATAGAGTTCTAAAAGAATAATAATAATAGTAATAGTAATAGTAATAATAATAATAATAATAATAATAATAATAATAATAATAATAATAATAATAATAATAAAGTTGGAAGGGACCTTAAAGGTCATCCAAGAAAAAAGTATTTAATTACTTGGGTGAACGGGCGTAGATGAGTTGTGAGACTACAGAAAAAGTGATTGGGTTGTTCGAATGAATAAGAACGATCATAGTTTGGCAACTTCTGTTCAGAAATAATTATATGTTTCTTTAGAATATGCAGAATATTTTAACCATAAATCCATTCATGCGCAAGCATAAAAAAGCTGATTGATTTGATGGTCTATGATGAAAGCCTTGAAAGAATGACTGACGATCCAAGTAGAGTAAGAAGGTCTGAATATGAGACCTCACGAGTGGATTAGAGAAAAATCAACCTGGAAGAAAGGAAGGGAGTGAAAGAAATGAAACGTATACTAACTACAAGAGAAAGCATGAGCCTCGCATGAAACAGCATTAGAAGACAGATTAATCTCCTAATACAGGAGGAGCCAGGATTAATAGAAAATGAGTATAAAGAAAGGGGATTTGGAAGTTATATGGAACAGAAAGATAAGAATTAAGCTGCAGAGTACAGAGAGTTTGTGGAATTACATTAATATGAAATATGAAAAAGAATGCTTGCTGGAGGGATGATAAGATAAGAAAAAAATGCATAGGAGAAAATGATGAATGCAATAAATTAGAGAAAGATATTGTATAATATATAGGGCAATAAAATGATAGTTGCAAAGGATGTATAGGCAATCCTTGACTTATGATTGTAACTGAGCCTCAGAATTACAGTCATAAGTCATGTTGGTCATAAAACAATTTTATGATCTTTTTTGCAGAGGTCGCAGCTTTGCCAAACAGAACTGAGTGCCAATTTTCAGCAAACCCATCATAAAATGCAGTCACATGACTGTGGGAGGCTGCAAATGACTGTACAAGCGACCATGTTGCCCAAGTGAAATTTGATCACGTGACAATAGTAAAGGTGACCATCAAATCTGGTCCTAAGTAGCCCCAAGTGGGCCTGTCGTAACTTTGAACGGTCATTAGTCAAGAATTACCTGTATCTATATTTCTAATAAATCTGCCTTCTGATGTTTAAGAATAATGTGTCAAAAGACTTTTTTAAATCTTCCATAATCAGAAAAGTAACCCTTCATTTCCATTTCATAAATAACCCTTCAGTCTGACGTTTTAGTACTATGCTATTTTGCTTGTTTTAACAATTTCATAAAATAAACTGGCAAGTTCAGTGTATGACATATGGTACTGACAGATAGTCTTGATTACTGGACCATTTTCTAGTAGCAATGACAACATTTGGTAGCAGACGTAACTGTCTTGCGGCACCATAAAGGTCTAAATTTATATTTATATGTGTATATGTGATATTTTAGCATTATGAACGTTGCATTATATGTACCTCTATAATGTATTAATGGTAATTCCATAACATTGGAGACGTGGGTATATTATATTCGAGTCAAGACTAGATTGGTTGACATTCCGTATGTAGGCGGCATCTTCTGACATGAAGATGCTTTAAAAGCCAGATAAAGCAGGGATACTGTGGGTATGAGATAAGCTATACTTAATGCATTAACCAGAGGCCTCTTAAAAGGTGCATGGTGGTGATATATGGTGAAATGATCTTATAAACAACAATGGACACTTAAGAGAGGGAAGCACAACACAATCCCCTTCAATGAGCTTGGTACTATTAGGCAGTGTTTCTCAACCCTGATAAGTTAATATGTGTGCTGTCTGGGGAATTCTGGGAGTTGAAGTCCACACATCTTAAAGTGGCCAAGGTTGAGGAACACTGCTATTAGGTAGGTAAATGTTAACTAAACCTTCATAGAATCATAATCCACTGGCTTAATTAAAGAGTTTTTGCTCTCTGGAAATATCTATTACATTTTCCGCTTTAGAATGAAATTAAAGAGCAATTTCTTATTGGAGGCATTAAAGAACGTTTTCTTAAATGCCAGTCTTGGGTGATGCTGAAAAGCAAAGGAGGATGTGCCATCAAGTTGTTTTCAACTCCCAGAGACCACTTAGATAGAGTTTTTCCAGGACATACTATACTTGTCTTTCGGGTCTCTTAAGACAGAGGTTCCCAACCTTTTGGGCACCAGAGACCGGTTCCATGCAGAAAGGTTTTTCCATAGACCGGAGAGTGCATGATTTTGTGTGTTGCCTGCATCCCACAGATGGGCCTTTGCTTGTTTGTGCGGACCGGTTGCTGCCATGCCGTGGCCCAGTACCAGTCCAAGGACCAGGAGTTGGGGACCCCTGCCTTAAGAGTTGCACTCATCACCACTGAACGAGAGTCCAAAAGTGGCTTGGATCTGGTTAATACCTGGATGGGGGATGTCAAGAAAATACCGCAGCTATAAATCAATCTGGGAATACAAATATGATTCCCAGGAGAAGGCAGCAATTACTTTGTTGACAGGAAAATGGCATGCAAGTGGCCCAAAAGCAGAAGCTGAGTTTGAGTCTTACCTGCAGAGTCATGGAAGGGCAGGATGAAAGGCCAGGTACGGAAAATACTTGGCAGCTGCCCACTGAAAGCACAGGATACCTTAAAAGCTATCCAGGATCTTGACTATTACCCACAACTCCCTTCCTTCCAAGAAATACAAATTGGCTGGCTTCACCTGTTTGACTTTGCCTTCCACGCTCTGGATGGCTTCCTTTGTTTTTTTCAGGGCTCGCTCGGCTGCCTTCACTTTGTCCTTGGCATTGTCTAGTGCTCCAGATGTTTCTGCCACAGTTCCCTGTACACCTTCTGCTTTTTTCCTGTGGAGAAGAAACACAACAAAACAAAAGAACTACACAGCATTTCCTTAATGTGACGGTTATTGCAGATTAAAGATTGGGGCTAAAATATAGGTAGTCCTCAGGTTACAACGGCCATTTGGAGTGGAATTTCTGTTGCTAAGTAATGTGGTTATAAACCATGATGACATGTGACCACTTCACTTAGCAATGCCAATCCCGGCAGGACCAGTGGCCATCATAACCAGAGACCATGCAGCTTGTTAAGAAAAGACCATACATGATCAGAGTCCTAGGCAAGCAGGCTGGTGGGTGAGGAGCTGTGGGTGAGTGCTACTGAACGTAGGTGGGCTGGGGAGGAACTGGGGTTGTGCCAGCCAGTGGGGATAGTGGGCAGGCACTACTGAATGAGGGGAGGCCAACAAGTGCGACTAGAAAGCGTGGGCAGGCAGGTGGGTACTGCGGAGGTACATACTCCATAGTGGGGCTCCTAGTAAGAAAAACTGGCAGGACTAATTTACGGAAACAGCTGGCAACTTTGCTTGTGGGAACCTGGCAGGGAAGATCACAAATGACGATCCATGACCATGGCTTGCTGCAACATCATAATCGTGAGCCGGTCACCCAAGGCCCAGATTATGATGATGTGACCGTGGGGACACTGCAATAGCCAGAATGCTAAAGACTGGTTGTTGGGTTCCCCTTGCTCAGCGCCATTGTAATTTCAGTCACTGAATGAGTGGTGAAAACCCGAGGACTGCCTGTAATACTTTGCAGATAGCCTGGACTTGAAGCAATTTCTGGTCTAGACAGCTGGCACCAAGTAACAATGACGGGGGGCGGGGGAATAACAAGTCTTATAGTTCTTTGCAAAGGACTATGAGAGAAAGATGTAGATATCTGGAAGAAGATCCAACTGGAAACAAAAACTGGAAAAGTTCTATGTTTCAGGTCAGGGGTCTTCTTCCCTCAAGACGACGCTATAGGGCATTGCACACCAGAACAACTGGACATAAGAACACTTTTTTTCCCATGTCATCACTCTGCTTAACAACTAATTCCTACAACATTGTCAAAATACTTAGTAAAGCTGTATTACTATGATACTCCTCATGTTTCTTTTTACTTATCCTTATCTTCTTATGACTATAACTTTGCTACTTGTATCTTACAATACATATCCTAGTATCCTAGTATGATTTATGTTGTTTGCTTAGCTAGTACTCTATGACTATCACTAAGTGTTGCATCTAATGATTTATGATGAAGTGTTGAATTTCACGATTTATGATGAATGTATTTCATGTTGTATATGATCATGACTATCACTATTACCTGTATGTACACTGAGAGCTTATACACTAGAGACAAATTCCTTGTGTGACCAACCACACTTGGCCAATAAAGAGTTCTATTCTATTCTATTCTATTCTATTCTATTCTATTCTATTCTATTCTATTCTATTCTATTCTATTCTATTCTATTCTATTCCTATGGATATTTCTTTAGTACCCTATACATGACTTTGTCCAGGCTGATTCTCATTCTTGCTTCAGTTCTCCCATTGCAAGATTAGGACTATGAAAAGTGGCATTGTCACTTACTACCATAGCTTAGTAACTGACTGGTTTCACACAATATGCACGCCACACCTGTATTCTGTATTCTGTATTCATACAATAGCTTATACCCAGGTGGACCATGTTGTGGCTTAATGTTACAGTGTGATTGACACAATACGCTAAGATGAGGGCTGCATCCTCATAACATACCGAACCACAATGTATGCAGTTTGGTCCAATGCTAATCTTTGTACTTCAGAAGAGGATAATAATAGATGACAGGGACCCATCCTACCCAAGATGATATGCTCTAATTGGCATTTAAGCTTGGCTCCTGATTAAATGACTTGATCCTGCAAAATATGTAATGTTTTTATTTCTGTACCAAAAATTTTAATTAATAAAATTGGTTAGTTTTGTTCCTGCCAGATACACTTACCTGGCCTGTTCTGCTTTGGTCAGCAAATCCCTAGCAAGGGTCAGGTTTTGCACTGTGCAGTTCAGGATAACATCCACTCTGTTAAGCTGGCTGATTCTGTCCCAGATTTCCTTAATCAGACTGTCGATCTGACTTTGACTGATGGGCTGGGGGATGTTCAGGACCTGTTGAGCCACCAGCTCAATGCTCTCTGGATCGGCACCTTCCTCTAGGGAGACAAGCACAGGTCCTTGATGTCCACATACCTGCAACAGTCCATTCTACTTCCCAGTCACCAGCCTAGCCCTCTTTTCCCTCCCCCCAAACCAATTATTACAATATTAACATTGTCAGAACACAACACACTCCCATTACTAACATCCATATTTCCCTTCCCACATAGGATAAGAATAGGTGGAAGCTTTACAGAGGGAGATCCAAACTCAAAAGAAGAAGGGATTTCTTGAGTGTGAGAATCCCTGGAATCATGGAAGCTTCAGCACTGGAAATTTTCAAGTAAAGGTTGGATAGCCACGTGTCTGGGAGAACATGAGGATTTCTGCCCTGGGTGGGGGACTAGATTAGAAGATCTCCAATATTTCTTCCAACCCCATGATTCTATGAATGTAGGACTTATATCTTATTAAGGCAGCATGAGGATACATTCACTTTTAGACATGCTTTACTTCAAGTTCAGTGTGAGCAATGCTCTGGTACCTGCTAGGAAGTCTTTTATCTTCTGGATGAATTCCCTCAGCTTGGCTGTGGATTTCTCCACCTGGTTCCGAGCTCCTTGAGCGTGGTCCAAGGTGTCCTGAGCATGGTTCCTGGCATCCTGTGCCAGGTTCTGGACCTCTTGCACCTAGAATGGAAGCTTCAGCTTAGTATTTCTCAGGGGCATCTAGTAGGGGCATCAAAGAAACGGTGACGTGACCATCCAATGCATCTAGGGTTGGCGTTGTCTGAACAGTGATAAATACTATCTTGATTTTTTTTTCAATTCAACCTGTGCACTTTTCCATAGGCTAGGTTTTTTTTAAATACAAATTTTATTGGTTTTTTTAATTTCTTAAATCAACATATTCAGGACACACCGTGGTGCCGGGGTAATCAAACATCCTAAAACAAAACGTATATACTTAGTACACTCAATACATCAAGTATTCCCTCTCTTTTTCCCTCAAATAGCATAGTATATTTAAAATATCCAATTCTAGCTTAGATTTATTCAACCTGAACCTGTTTTTAAGCTTCGTTAATTTACAATACCATAATCAAATTAAGTTTAAATAAAAACATTTTCAATTCAGATATCCCTTCCATGTATGTTCTACTATCTTAATTTTATCGTAATCTTATTTATTTCTTCTTCCACTAATCTCCCCCTATTTAGAGTACAATATTAATCTATCCTATACCTATCAAATAGGCTAGGAGTTTTTTTTTGACACTTTTGTGATTAAACATTGGAACTCTTCACAACAGGAAAAGTACCCTGACTTTTAAGGAAGAAGGTTTGTTTATTTACTTATTTATTTTTTATCCCACCTTTAATATTTTTTACAAAGAATACAAGGCGGCAAACATACCTAATACTCTTCCCCTATTTTCCCCACTACAACAACCTAGTGAAGTTGGGGTTGAGCTGAGGGAAAATGACTGACCCAAAATCTCCCAGCAGGCTTTCACGCCTCAGGCAAGACTAGAACTTCCTGGTTTTTATCCTGGCACTGAACTGGCTTTCAAAATAAATGTTCAGCCTTTATTATCCAATTTCTGTCAGTATAGGTCAGGGGTCTTCAAAACTTGGCCCTTTTATGACTTGTGGACTTCAACTCCCAGAATTCCTCAGCCAGGCACTCTGGCTGAGGAATTCTGGGAGTTGAAGTCCACAAGTCATAAAAGGGCCAAGTTTGAAGACTACTGCTATAGGTAGTCCTTGACTTGCTATTGCAATAGAGCCTGGAATTTCCATCATAAATCATGACGGTCGTAAATCAAGGCACCCACGTGACTGGATTTTACAACTTTTTTGCGGTGATGGTTAAGTGAATGCTGTCATTATTAAGCAAATCCATTCATTCCAATGGGTGGTTTTTGACAGAAACCGGCCAAAAAGCAAAAAGAGGCAAAAGAAATATCATAAATCATGGCCACGTCAACACAGAATATTGCAACTGGTCATAAAGGTGAGCCAATTGTTAAGTTCCCCAAATGCAGTCATATTACCATGCTGTGATTACAGTAGTTTTTGAGTGGGTCCATTGCAACTTTGAACAGTCACTAAGGATTACCTGAAATTTTTTTTTTAAATATTTCTTTTAATTGAAGTTTAAAACTACAAATAAAAAAAACTGATGAAAGTTAAGGAAAATGTAAAAAAAAGAAAAAATAGAAAGTGCAAAAAAGAGAAAAGAGGGGGAAAGAAAAAAATCTATACATAAAAAAGGAAATAAACAGCAATAAAAAAGAAATGTAGACATTACTTTCATCAAGATAAATACTGTACAAACATTTTCAATAACTCAATACCTTCTTTAATATTTCAACCAACCATCTCTTCATCCTATATCTCATTTCTTATCAAACTCTCACACTAATATGTGAAAGTTTACAAATCTTGCATTTGTAGCCTTTCCCTGTTTTTTCTATTTCTTTTTTAAAAAAAAAACTGGAAAAAAACTGATAAAGAGAGAAAGATGAAATAGCCACCAAATAAAATCTGGTGCTTAGTGATAGGAGCATTTCTGTCAAAGATTTTTTGTGACGTTGTTTCAGATTTAGTCTCTAAAGACCCAAAAATAGTAACTAGTCCCTGGAGATTTACTGTTTTCCCACTGAGGTGATAACCTTGGCTTATCTCAGGGAAAGCTAAGCAGGGATGGCCTGGTTAGAATTTTGAATGGGAAACCATCAGGACAACTCAGGGCTACAGGCTAGACTGTGAAGCTGAAAACAATATTCCAGAAGGAGACAATGGCAAACCATTTTCACTTGGCTGCCAAGAACTCTACCCTACTTAGGTGTGTCATAAAGATATAAGGAATTGAAGGTGACTGAAGGGAGACTTTTTTTTTAAGGCATTCCCGGGGACTTCTTCTTGTGCCATATCCGTTATCGGACGTTGGCGATCATGTTGGCGATCCTGTTTTTATCAGCAGCCGCACGAAAAAGTGCTGCTGAGTTTTGTCCAAACCAGACCCTTAGATTTTGAAGCCATGATGTTCTTCTGCTTGGACCTCATTTGCCTTCAATCTTTCCCTGGAGGATTAAATGGAGTATGCCGTATTTTTCTGAGTATCGCATTGCATGTCCGAAATATTCTAATTTTCATTTTTTAATTGTTTTGATGATTTTCCTTGGCTTTCCCAGGCGGCTTATCACCTCCTCATTTCTGATCTTGTCAAACCAGCTTATATGTAACAGCTGCCTGTAAATACACATTTCAAATGCTTCTAGTCCAATGGTTCTCAACCTTTCTAATGCCTCGACCCCATAATACAGTTCCCCATGTTGTGGTGACCCCCAACCATTTATACATCACCGGGTGCCAGGGGCGTGGCCAAAGAAAAGGGGAAAAATGGCGGACAGCCTTGTTTGGCAACCTCCCTGAAATGGTCATTCGACCCCAAATGGGGTCCCAACCCACAGGTTGAAAACCACTGTTCTAGTCTCTTCAGGTGGCCTTCTGTCAGAGACCAACTCTCTACTCCATAGAGCAGGATAGAAAAAATATAGCATCTGACAAGCCTGATTTTCAGTCTTCCTGGGGACAGGAGGAGTTAACCAGAAATCATTGGGCAGCATGTGTGAATGGGCTGCTCAACACAATAATCAGAATACTTAGCAAATAAGGCTTAATATCTTCTGCAAAAAAGTACTATTTAAAGGCATAGATACCATGTATTGTTTTGAGAAGTCACTTAGATTTTTTTTTTTTTTAAATTGATCTGGTGTAAAAAGCGTGGTAGAATCTGGAGCCAAGTCCAGGGGAGGAGTGAAAAGGCTGGCTATCCTTGAATCATCTGATGGGGAGAAAGCTGTGGGAAGCAGGCCCTCCCTAAACTTTGCATTGTTTCTCTAGTAGTTTCTATAGTGAATGCCGAATCATCTCATGGTGACACGGGCGGCAAACAAATTTAATAAAAAAATTTAAATAAATTAGTCTGGTAAGTGTCAACTCTACAAATGAGCATAGCTGCAGCCATTTTTCCTACTCATTTTTGGTTTTCACGTAAAACGGAGGGAGGGGGGTTGCCAGGTGCTTCGCTAGTCAAAATAATATTTTTTCCCGTGGGAACCAAGGTCATCGGCTGTTCCCAAGACTGCAGGCTGGGCATTGCATAAAAAGCCCGCAGAGAAGATGTATTGGGGAACGTAGTTGCTTGCATACCCTTTTGAGGGGTGGGATTTTTTAACTTTATATTAGGGAATTGTTATGTGTATCTCCAGACTTGGTTTCACTTTTGACGTGCCGATACTTTGTAACTAATAAACATATTCTTTGAGGAATTTGCAAGCTTCGGAGTTCTGCTTTATTCATCTCCGTCTGTCAGAACCATGACAATAAGATTCCTATCAATTAGGCAAGTAGCAATAAACACACCATTCTGATCAGCTCCCTATGTGTCATCCTGGTTCTTTACACCTCACAAAAGCCATAATACATACATATATACATACATACATGCTTTAATCAATTAAGAAATGTGATCTCCATTTTAACAGCTGTATGCTTCTATTCAATTGTACCTTGTTAACAATGGTGATCAGCTGACCTGCTGTGGTCTCCAGCTGCTGTGAAAGGTTCTGGGCAGACTGGAGGGCCTTGATGGACACAGGAAGAGCTCCAGTACAACCAGGACCTCCACAGTGCCTTTGACCGGAACTGTCCTTACAGGAAGCTCCTCCACAAGGAGCTTTTTCACAGACCTCTTCTCCAGAACCTCCGCAGATCTAGAACAAGACCACAAACAAAGTTTATCCAGTGAAAAGAGATCTCTGATGAGCTGTTGACCTCATCAATAGACCAGAAATTAAAACAATGGACTCAGGAACAAGGAGCAGGAAAGGAAAACGAATTCAATTTGCATCGGACTGCAAACTTATCTATTTTTTTTTTTTGTTTAACCAATATACATGAATCTAATTTTGTCCTTTGCATTTTTCCAAATTTTGCCAATGTAATTTCTCTTAAAAAATAATACATTAGGGTAAAATCTCAACAAAATACAAATTGCCATATATAAACATTTACCGTGTTTTCCCCAAAATAAGACCCAACCGGAAAATAAGCCCTAGCATGATTTTTCAGGACACTCGTAATATAAGCGCCACCCCAAAAATAAGCCCCAGTTAAGATTGTCAGCCAGACGGACACATTCAGTACCATATTTCCCTGAATATGCCCTAACTGGAAAATAAGCCCTAATGCAGTGGTGGCGAACCTATGGCACGAGTGCCAGAGGTAGCACTCAGAGTCCTCTCTGTGGGCACGTGTGCCATCGCCCCAGCCCTAGGCCTTCAGCTGGGTTTTATAAAACCTTTTCGCTTTAGGCCTCCACTGCCATGTGCAAAAAAAAAAAAAGGTTCAATCAATCAGTCAATTTCAATTTCTCGCGGGGAAAAAAAAGAACTTACAAAGTTGGAATTGATTGATTGAATGTTTTAGTCCCACCCAGTCTGCTGTT